TGTTGGAGTTCCATAGTTGTGAATGTGCGTTGGCATCCCCGAGTACTAAGGCGTCCCCAGGTTCAAGTAGTTCGGCAAGGGACGCAGAGTAACCAGGGGGACAGCTCGAGCGAGGGGGGATGTAGAAATTATAAATACGAAGCTTGGATCAACTGGCTAGCACTGATATGCCCATAGCCTCTAGTGTTCCATCGTTGTTAATATTTATTTCTTCGTATTGTATCGACTCATGTATGGCTATGAGAAGACCGCCCCCTTCTTTTTCTCGATCTTTTCTAATTAAAGTGTAGTGTGAGCCAAGTGAGGGGTTTCGAGATTTCTTTCTTAATTTAGTTTCTTGGAAGACAGCAATATGAATTTGATTTTGAGATAAGAAAGCAGCAATTTCGGGTGCTTTTCCGGAGATACCGTTGCAATTAAATTGAAGGATTTTTAAAAGGCCTTTGGCGGGGTGTGGTGAACTATTTACATTATTAACAGCAGTATGATTAAAATGGTTGTTTGAACTTGAGTTATTTACACTATTTACACGATTACGATTTGCGCGATTTTGGGAGGAGGAATTATTATTCGAGGAGGTGGGAAGGGTGGGAGGGGGAGGGGGGTTAGGGAGGTGGGGTTGGGGGCGGTTAGGGAAGTTGAACAAGTTTGGGAGTTGGGGGTGGTCAAGTTAGAGGACCTGGTGCCTGGGGGAGGTAAAATGTAGGTAGAGGTACAGGTAGGGCAATAGTAGTCAGGGTGGTGTTGGTTAAGGTGGGTAAGACCACTACATTTAAGGTAAATGTAACCACAGATGTGGCACCAGACACTGGGCTGGGTGCGTTTGATGCGGAAAGAGCAAGGGGAGCAAAAGTAAGGCCCTGGACCAGGGTTTGGATTAATGTCGGAGCGGAGTAGTAGTATAAGGATGAGCAGACGGAGCAGCCTGGCCGGCTTCAGACGCTCCGTAACCGAAAACCCGGAGACTTCTGAGCTTCTCCCGACCCAATGGGAGGGGGGGGGCTTGACGCCATTTGCATCTTGGTGGGGCCCAAGATGTCGGATCCACCACTGGAAGGCGGCGTCGTCTGGATCCAAGTCCTAGGATGCACCCGTTCTATTATTAAGTTGCGCTATTGTTTCTTCAAAGTGGTTGGCTTCAAAGAATTAAAAAATAGGTGGTGCATAATATGTGGACTAGTTTTAGAGTTTGCGCATAATCTTGAATATTCACAGCAGAATTGAGCAAGAGCACACCGTGAAGTTCCGCGAAAGCTGCTTTCCTACAAGGCTGTTTCCGGAGTTTTAGAGCCCATCAGTTTAGAAGGATATCTGATAACGTCGTTTTTCGCCTATTCAGGGTGCAGTTTTTACTGCAACTTTGTATTGATCAGGTGTAAGATGATCATCTTCATCAAAGGGTTTTTTTAAAGTTTTCATAGTACTTTTCGGCTAAGTCTTGGTTTCATAAACCTCGACATTTGACTAAGTTTATATACATGGTAGTCTCGCTGTTGGGTTGATGAGAGCCAGATAGGAACTACTTGCTCCAAAAGTTCGAAGTGTTCCTTTAACGACAGCATTTAGTTTCACCATGAAGGTGTTCAATTGAGATCATGTTTAGATTGCCATTAACAATTTTCACAAGTTCTGAATAGTTCTGTATTGAGGGTGCACCGACAGTAGCTGTATAATTCAGAAAACTACGCCGATTGGACTTGTAAGTAATGCTTAGATACTGTTTTTTTTGCTGCATTACCAGCTTTTTTCAAAAAAAATATTGCTTTTTGTCAGTTTACATATCACCGAGGTAATGTGTTCAGTCCATGTAATGAAGTCATCGAAATTCACTCTCTATATTCTGGGTTTTTGCAAGTTGGGTTGTGGATTGCTGCTGACAATACCTCGCTTTCATCCTTTTTCTTGCTTGTTAGGGGTTATGATGATCGCTCAAGATTTGCCCGAGTCTTCGATTCATTCAAGCCAACTGAATAAGGGGCAATGTTGCTAACTTGATGTTACTGGTTTTGATATGAAAGGGGCATTAATGACAAGTAAACAGTCAGAAGGATCAGTTTTGAAGGATATGTGATATTTTCGTTTTTCGCCTCTTCAGTGTGTAGTTATTATTTCGACTTCGTATTGATCAGGTGTAAGATGATCATCTTCATCAAAGGATTTTTCAGGTTTCCGTAGTGTTTTTCTTTAAGTCTTCTTTTCATGAATATCGACATTGGATTAAGTTTATATGTGTGGTAGTCGCGCTATTGGGTTGATGATAACCAGAACGAAACTACTTGCTCAAAAATTCAAAGTTTTCCTTCAACGGCAGCATTTTAGTTTCACCATGAAGGCGTTCAAACTGAGGTCATGTTTAAGCTGCCATTTAAAATTGTCACAAGTTCCGTGTTTTGGCGGAATAGATATTTCTAACGATACTCACTTAGTGAGTGTGCACAGACAGTGGCTGTATAATTCAGAAAACTACGCCGAATGGCCTTGTAAGTTATGCTTAGTTAGTTTTTTGCTACATCACCAGCTTTTTTCAGTAATTTAGCTTAGTTACTGTTTTATGCAGCGTTTTCCAGTAAATTATTGTCTTTTTGCAGTTTATTTATCACTGAGGTCAATGTAATGAAGTTGTCGAAATTCAATCTCTATATTCTGGGTTTTTGCAAACTTGGTTGTGGATTGCTGCCGACAATACCTCGGTTTCAACCTTTTTTCTTGATACGGGTTATGATGATCGCGCCAAGCCAACTGAATAGATCAATTAGGTAAAGTTATCTCCTTATCAATTTTTGTGGTGCAAGGTCCGGTTGTTGTAATACAAATATCTTTTTTATATGTTGCTTATTAGATGTTATTGAATAAGGGCCAATGTTGCTCATTTGATGTTCCTGAATTTGACATGGAAGGGTCATTAATGACATGTAAATAGTTATAGGGATGGGCGACAAGATACGTCGTCAAAAAACCTTGTTCCTTTCGTCACAATTTTGTTTTTTCATTCATAAATTCAGCATAAGTTGCCCTGCTTTGAAGGTATGATGTTGTCCATCTTTTTGTGCTCTTAGGTAAAAGACAATTTCTAGAGCGTGCAGCAGGATACCGTGATCCACTGTGTCGAACGCTGCAGTTAGATCCAAAGAAACTGAGAGCGTCCTTTGCGGAGGACATGGTTGTTCTTTCGGTAGCTTCGTTTAGCCTAACAGGTTTGATTTTGAGTAGTAGTTTTGTTTCTGACAATGAGAAAAGTTTCGACAAAAAGGTCGCGAGACAAAGCCGCCGTGTTTTGTAAGGTGCAGGAAAGGTTCACCTGTCCACCAAAGCGCATTAGAGCGCTCTCGTTATTTTATTTTCAGATCGGGCAGCTGCACAGAACGATGGTAGTGGACGAGACTCACAGACCGCATTTGAGTTCACGATGATAGGGTTTAATCGTGGCCAATCTTCTGCAGCCGGTTACAATTCTAAGTGCTGTTTTTTTTTCAGTTTCTAGACGCTGTTTTTCTCAATTGCTAGGCCAAAAACCTTAAGTTGGATAATGATGTTTCTTTTGCAGGAGTTTGTACGAGATTAAGCCTTGATGTGAGCCATGGTGTGCATACATGCACGTTGAGGCACTCGAATATAGGTATACATAATCACGGGTTTCATCCTCTTCACTCGAGCGTTGCGGTACTAAATGGTAACAAATTAACAACTTGGTTATTAATGTCTTCTTGGTGGCGTTGGTTCCTCAAATGCATTCAACAAGTATGCCATGTCACCTTCTTCAAGCGACTGCACGAACCGACTCCTTGGATAATTTTTCCGCTACCTTCACGCCGGTAAAGCAAGCACCAAACAAAACTGAGTTAAAAAAATGTTCCGACTGCTGAAAATGGCGAGGAACTTTGTATTCGGGTGTGTTTTTAGTTTTTTCTTTTAGACGAAAAAATCAAGTACCAAATATAATCATCAGAATGGTGTCGAGCGATGTATCAAATAAAGCCCTTTCACTCGTGATTTGAACATTAAACTCAGAGGCAAAGCGCAGCTTCGCAACATTTGCGATGCAAAAAGCGCATTGCGCTAACAAAATAGTGTATGAAGTCAAAAAACAATTTATAAAAATTTTCACTAAATTTGAAAGTTTTCACGACCCATTCAATTTCGAACCCATAATCCCTAACGGATTTATTTATCCCTCAAAATTAGGCAAAATAAAATGACTAAGTCGATATAAAAAACTGAAACTGTTTGAATAATTTCAAGAAAAAGAAGAAAAAAGCTCAAAAATACAGACATGGTAACTTTACAAATTTGTGAGAAGTTTAAGTTATAGCATAAACTGTTTAAATTGGAAAAAAACATGCTTTGAAAAGTAAACCAATAAAACCCTACCATATAAAAGAAGGTCGTTTAAAAAACTGAAAATTAACCGACAGAAACTAGGACGAAAACCAGGAACAAACTTTGTTTGTTAATTTTTTGGAAACAACTCATGTCGATTATGCCTGATTTCCTAACATTCTACGCGTTTTTATAGTTCTCTCATCACATCACGCACAAGTAACGACACTAATTTGAGACAAAACTTGTTTTTGATTTTAAAGAATATCGTCGGAACATTGTGCTACAGTGGTTCTATTTACCTATTGAAACTAAATTGAACTGAAAAAGAAATGAGGACAAAATGAGAATAAGTAAATTTGAACGAGAATATCTGCAAGACTTTTTTTTTTAAAAATGGAAAATTTTTCTTTTTTAAAAAAAGAAAAAAAACGGAAACCGCAAGACCTAATTAAGTGTCTTCATTTCACTCATTGCCACTTTACAAGCTTTGTTCACTGAAATGAGAAAGGTTTACGACACCTCTAATTCTGGCCTGGACTATTTCTACATAGTTATTAGGCATATATTAGGTAGATTAATCATTGCTATGTCATAGAATCTCTACTTGAATAATATAATTTTAAATTTTCTTGAGGCTTCGGAAACGGTAAACCTCGCCCTTGTTCTTTGAAAAAGCATGATTAGAAGAGATAGATAATCGTGGTAAATTAATTTCTATTCAACTAAAAACGTAATAAAATGTTATATGTGATACTTATAATACAACGCAGAACCCAAACGCAATTTCTGGAATCTATAACTCGGCTATAAGCGCATGAATTAGTAACAGCGTGCAGCTTTCCAGAAACTTCACATATAGAGCAATTATTATTTTTGGAAGAAACCGAAACTTCATTAAAAACGCGATAAGTAACCTCTGTCAACTACTTCGATATAAAGTTTAATTAACTTGTTACACTGCGAGCCAGTTTCAGCCAAAACACAAACAAACATCCATTTTACGGACAGTTCGAAGATAAAATCGGACCATCCATCAATTTTTAAAAAATCTCAAAAAACTGCCAGGTTGTTTCAGCACTTTTCAAGTCGAATAACCACCATATTAGCACATTCGCCCATCTTAAAATACAAACTGCATTGAAGCTTTGTGACAGTTGTTTTTGTTTTCTGATGAATTTTAATTTAACGACCCAAATCTATGTATTTGTCATTAATTGATTAGCTAACGCATTAATTAGTTGTTTTCTGACTATTTAAATTCAGAAGAGAACGCATTGTCAAATTTCAATTCTGTCCTGGGTTTGCAGTTGCTTGGGCCGTTGTTCCTGTAGCTTCCATGCTCTGAGTTGCTTGGTTCGCATTGGTTGCTGCGTCGGCTGCTGCCATAGCGACGGTTGCTGCCGCCGCGGCTTCAGGGCCGGAGACGGCGGCTGTAGCGGAGGCGGTTGAGCTCGGGGCTGCCTTACCGCTGGTTGCCGGCTCTGCGAGGCCGAGGTCTTCAGATATCCACGACTCCTCGACAATCTGGTTGACTCGCTTTTCATACTCTCGGCGATTCTCCGAGTACAGTTGAGCTGCGAGGCTGTTTGCGGGACTGTTGGGATTAGGTTCATCCAGTAAGGACTTAAACACACACAGTTCACTGATTAAAACACATCAAAGAGTTTATCAAAATAGATTCTCCGTTGCATCAAAAATTTGCAGCTTGTAAAATGGAGACTAATCCCCATAAAAATTTAACACAAAGTTAAAATTTAGAATCTCTTTGACGAAGATGAGAAATACTGAGAAAACAGTTACAAAGACCCAATTGAATACCTGTATAGAAGTGAGTATGGACGATACATCGTACGTGGGACTCCATCTGTTCTGCAAAATATCCAGACAGATACCTCCATCTGCGTACACGTTAGGATGGAACATCTTCGTCTTGAACTTGACAGTGGGCGGCTTGTTGGGATACTCTTCTGTGAACTCCAAGGTCAGCCGGAAGGTTCCATCTTCAAAGGGGGTGTCCATAGGTCTGCGAGCAGAATTTTCAATAAACATAACTATTAGACAGCTGGAAACATTTTACAATAAAACCAAAAAAGTACTTAATTTTGAAGCATTTTGCAAGAAAATATATCAAGTCTTAAGGTCATAGAATTTCAAAGATCTTTTACGATAGAACTTCCAAAATAAAATAAAACTAACCAAAATTTAAAACAAATTATTCCTCCGAGAAATATAAAGAAGAAAACTGCTTTTGAGAAAAAATTTCACCCTTCACTCACTTTTGTTGGAAAGAGTAACTTACTATCCAGAAAAAAAATATATCACATCTCAAAGCTGTTTGAAATTCAAAAAACTTTGTGAATGACACATTTGATTAAAAAAAACTATCCAATCTACTGAAACTAGACTAACAGCTTTTTATTCATCTAGAATCCTAGAAACATAGCCAAATGAAAGTTGGAAAACAGTAGAGAACGCTAGGAAACAGAAGAAGAAAAGCAATGTTTTTTTTTGAAATAATTATCATCTTTTCAAAGGTTCGAATTTCAAAGTAAACAAGACTGCTCGTATCAGGGCGAAGCCCTCAACGTTCCGACTGCCTTTTAAGGTCTCTGGAGCAGTACTTACATGATAAACTTGAATGCAAAATAAAAAATTTTGAAAATATCCCCCAATAGTCATATTAAGCACAAAGTTATAGATTTTGCTTCTTTTAACCATTAATTATCGCAAATAAGCTTCCTTGAACCAATTTGGAACAATTTCTTAGACGGATTAGATCTGCCAACGCGTTAATAGCGCGAAATAGATCGCGCGTTAATTGTCCCGAATTGGCCAAAATGGTAACCTTTAAAGCCCCATAACTTTTTTAAAAAAATGATCACAGGTGAAATATCTTTTCAAACTTCAGCTCAGAACAACAAAAGCTTTCGAATGATATAGAAAAATTCCATCAAAAATGGCTAGTTAAAAAGTCAAAATTTGTCTGAAGAAAAAAAAACCCACCCCGAGCACAAATATTCCGTTACGAAAGTCGGAACAAAAATATATGGCCTTCAAGCTCCTTAACTTTCAAGAACAAGATAAAACTGACACTTTTTATAAATTAACTCAAATTGAGAAAAGTGGATCAAATATAAAAACCAAAATCCACTTGCAAAATTCGAAGTCAATCACATTTTTCGTGACCTTAACACTTTCACTGTTCGATAATAGAATTTGCCGTCCTTTAAACAAAGAAAATCAACTGAACTGAAAAATAAAGTAAAATTCGAAAAACAAAAGATCAAATTTGAGCCTGGACAAAGTTTATGAATTATCCTGAAAACCACAAAAAAAATCATCACGACCTTTATAATAGTCTGAACTACGTTCATCGACTCTTAAAGGATAAGAAAAAAACTCAGTCAAAAAATCTCAAAACAATTATCTTGCAATAAAACAACCGCCACATCCAGCATGAAAAATTGGGGATAATAAAACACCCCATCCGTTGCTTACTAGAAAGTGCATTCGAAAAGAAAGATAAAAACTTTTTAGAAGAAAAATAAAAAAAAACATTTGCCTCACAAAATAACTTCCAAGCACTTTTAGAAAACAAAAAAACACAGGCGAAGCTGAGCTTCGCACCACTTCCGATACAAAAATGAATTAGACTTCAGATATCTGAAAATTAAAAGTTCACCTCACCCTCAAAACACAAACACTCAAAAAAACATTTTTTGATGGTCAGATGAAACAATATGAGGCTACTAAGCCGATATAAAATAGGCCGAAACCTATTGGGCCTAAAAAAAAGTCAGAAAGAAAATTCTAAAAATTTTTTAGTTAAATAAAAAATTATCAAGTCCCCCTCAGCCTCAGAGCACAGACACGCACACACAAAACTTTTTTCGCTCGTCGAAAGACGCACTATGAGGCCAATAAGCGATAAAACATAGAGGCGACTAAGTCATTTTAAAACGCTGAAACCAATTCAGCCAGAAAAGACAAAACAATGGAAAATAACGAAATCCAGAAGGTCTAATTACAATCAATGTAAAAATTTTGATTCGGCCATATTTTTAAAATGGTAAAACAATTACAGCAACAGCAAAAATTCTTTACAGCAAAAATAAACTATTCTTAGATCTGGCAACTGAGCCGACAAAACATCAGCAGACAAATGTCGATTTTTTGAACCGGAATATTTACCGCTTGAACAAAAACAGGTCGCGGTCAGATTCGAAACCTGATTATTTGCCGCCCCAGGCATATTCGTTACCCCAAAATATATAGAAAAATTCCATCAAAAATGGCTAGTTAAAAAGTCAAAATTTGTCTGAAGAAAAAAAAACCCACCCCGAGCACAAATATTCCGTTACGAAAGTCGGAACAAAAATATATGGCCTTCAAGCTCCTTAACTTTCAAGAACAAGATAAAACTGACACTTTTTATAAATTAACTCAAATTGAGAAAAGTGGATCAAATATAAAAACCAAAATCCACTTGCAAAATTCGAAGTCAATCACATTTTTCGTGACCTTAACACTTTCACTGTTCGATAATAGAATTTGCCGTCCTTTAAACAAAGAAAATCAACTGAACTGAAAAATAAAGTAAAATTCGAAAAACAAAAGATCAAATTTGAGCCTGGACAAAGTTTATGAATTATCCTGAAAACCACAAAAAAAATCATCACGACCTTTATAATAGTCTGAACTACGTTCATCGACTCTTAAAGGATAAGAAAAAAACTCAGTCAAAAAATCTCAAAACAATTATCTTGCAATAAAACAACCGCCACATCCAGCATGAAAAATTGGGGATAATAAAACACCCCATCCGTTGCTTACTAGAAAGTGCATTCGAAAAGAAAGATAAAAACTTTTTAGAAGAAAAATAAAAAAAAACATTTGCCTCACAAAATAACTTCCAAGCACTTTTAGAAAACAAAAAAACACAGGCGAAGCTGAGCTTCGCACCACTTCCGATACAAAAATGAATTAGACTTCAGATATCTGAAAATTAAAAGTTCACCTCACCCTCAAAACACAAACACTCAAAAAAACATTTTTTGATGGTCAGATGAAACAATATGAGGCTACTAAGCCGATATAAAATAGGCCGAAACCTATTGGGCCTAAAAAAAAGTCAGAAAGAAAATTCTAAAAATTTTTTAGTTAAATAAAAAATTATCAAGTCCCCCTCAGCCTCAGAGCACAGACACGCACACACAAAACTTTTTTCGCTCGTCGAAAGACGCACTATGAGGCCAATAAGCGATAAAACATAGAGGCGACTAAGTCATTTTAAAACGCTGAAACCAATTCAGCCAGAAAAGACAAAACAATGGAAAATAACGAAATCCAGAAGGTCTAATTACAATCAATGTAAAAATTTTGATTCGGCCATATTTTTAAAATGGTAAAACAATTACAGCAACAGCAAAAATTCTTTACAGCAAAAATAAACTATTCTTAGATCTGGCAACTGAGCCGACAAAACATCAGCAGACAAATGTCGATTTTTTGAACCGGAATATTTACCGCTTGAACAAAAACAGGTCGCGGTCAGATTCGAAACCTGATTATTTGCCGCCCCAGGCATATTCGTTACCCCAAAATTCTAGTAACCGATTGCAATAGCCTTGCTTATCGCAAGGGTAGTCGAAAAACTCGTGCACACAAAAAACTGGAAAAAAAACATTCTAACAAAAACAAGTATCAATTCAACAGCCCTAGAGCAGCTCCTATACGTACAACTCGACTAATAATGGAGATCTTAAAATTGAAGATCCTGTGAACATAGTTATTTACGGGAAAATAGTCTAGTATGAACAAATGAAAAAATTACCCAAAAATGACAGCGTTCCAGACCATAATGTTATGCTCTGTAGGTGCACCACTGATTCCATGTGGAGGATCTTCTTGGAGTCTGAAATAATTCCAATATAACCTGACTAGCAAAGGCAATTATTTAAATCTATTTTATTGCATCTATATTGATATTCCAAATTATAGAAAAAAAATCATTAAACAATCAAGCCAATGGCCAATTAGCATAGTCATTACATGTGTGCAACTTTTATATACTACCTTTTAAAGTCTCTCATTAGTCGACGTCTTGCGGGGGTTGACATTTGGCCTGAAAAATCAAGCAGCTGCTGCTACTACTACAAAAAGATTTCATTCCTTATATAGGGCGGCAGAAATATAAGTATGAGCATTAAGATCTACAGGTTAAACAGCGACAATTGATAAAAAAGGTACATGAGTTTTCAGGGTTGAAATCTGATATCGATAAGTTTAAAAAGAGTTATACAAAAAAATCGTATCACTTAAATAAACAATTAATTAACCTCAAAAATCTTGTTGAAATTAAATCTTGTTGAAATTCATCGTGCACAAATAGGCGAAGCTGAGCTTAGCGCCCCCTGCAATATAACTCAAAACTTAGAAAACGGAAAACTCATAACTAAGGCAAATGCCACTAAATCAAAAAAAATCTTCAATAAAAAACTATATCTACAAAAATTTAAGTCAAGTCAAGTTTTTATGACCATTAGGCAGTGCCTCTTGTGGTCATTTCAAATTTTTTTTCCTATCTCCGTTTAAATTGGAAAAAAACATGCTTTGAAAAGTAAACCAATAAAACCCTACCATATAAAAGAAGGTCGTTTAAAAAACTGAAAATTAACCGACAGAAACTAGGACGAAAACCAGGAACAAACTTTGTTTGTTAATTTTTTGGAAACAACTCATGTCGATTATGCCTGATTTCCTAACATTCTACGCGTTTTTATAGTTCTCTCATCACATCACGCACAAGTAACGACACTAATTTGAGACAAAACTTGTTTTTGATTTTTAAGAATATCGTCGGAACATTGTGCTACAGTGATTCTATTTACCTATTGAAACTAAATTGAACTGAAAAAGAAATGAGGACAAAATGAGAATAAGTAAATTTGAACGAGAATATCTGCAAGACTTTTTTTTTAAAAAAAGGAAAATTTTTCTTTTTAAAAAAAAAGAAAAAAAACGGAAACCGCAAGACCTAATTAAGTGTCTTCATTTCACTCATTGCCACTTTACAAGCTTTGTTCACTGAAATGAGAAAGGTTTACGACACCTCTAATTCTGGCCTGGACTATTTCTACATAGTTATTAGGCATATATTAGGTAGATTAATCATTGCTATGTCATAGAATCTCTACTTGAATAATATAATTTTAAATTTTCTTGAGGCTTCGGAAACGGTAAACCTCGCCCTTGTTCTTTGAAAAAGCATGATTAGAAGAGATAGATAATCGTGCTAAATTAATTTCTATTCAACTAAAAACGTAATAAAATGTTATATGTGATACTTATAATACAACGCAGAACCCAAACGCAATTTCTGGAATCTATAACTCGGCTATAAGCGCATGAATTAGTGGGTAAGATGTCTAGAGGCAATACCAAAGCGAGGGAATCGATACTAGAGGAGGAACTGGCGAAAAGAACGTGAGCTTGAGCCTGCACAACTCCTTTTGTTTGAACCGGGAATCTAGGGTGAAGGCACTACCCAACCAGGCAAAGAGGTTGCAGGAGCAAAGAGAATGGATGCGATCCTATGAACAGCTGAAGGCTTGGGAGGAAATCGTGATTAGCTCCGATGATGAAGAAGAACTGTTGAGACAGTTTGCCGTATCAAGTACTTCAGGGTGTGGCACCTCCAAGGCAAAGAGTGCGAGATGAGTGGATGGTTTGAATGGATCTTGAGTCTTGAGAGGGAAGGGGGGCGTGAGTGTGGATCCGGGTGAAACCTGGGTTCACAGAAAAAGAAATTTTAACGAATCAAATATTGTTATTAATATACTATATTTACTATATAAATCAAAATGCTGCATGACAATTTCCTGATTGAATGGGACAAAAGAAATTTTAAATGATTGGCTTAAAAAGCAAGAATTCAAGGGTGCAGGTGTGTGCAGATTTTGATTGCTGGGGGGCTTGAGTGTGGATCCGGGTGAAACCTGGGTTCACAGAAAAAGAAATTTTAACGAATCAAATATTGTTATTAATATACTATATTTACTATATAAATCAAAATGCTGCATGACAATTTCCTGATTGAATGGGACAAAAGAAATTTTAAATTATTGGCTTAAAAAGCAAGAATTCAAGGGTGCAGGTGTGTGCAGATTTTGATTGCTGTTTAGCGCTAGTGTGAAAATTTTACATGGCCGTGAATTTTGGGGTGTAGATAAACTTGAGTCTGCTGCGAAATTCTGTAAATGACCACTGGCACTGTACCTTGAGCAACACTTGATTTTCTGGGACTCACTGGCAGACGACAGCACGCGATGAGGACATCGATCTCGAGTCCGGGGAGTATGTGCCAGTCGGTCATATTTGGAAGTTTGACCTTGAGAGAAGCAAAAAAGACTTAATTTTGGCGTGAAATTTAATTTTTCAAAAATTCGAATGGAGCCTGTCATGCACGATTTTCTCGCGATAACTGAAAGTCAAAAAAGAGAAGTCAGAACAATCGAGTGACAATCGCGGGAAAGTTGCAAGATAAATCAGTAGGAAATAGCTATTCGCAATTTCCGTCACAGTAATAATCTAGAGTAGAGCTGTCCCATTTGAAACAGAAAGAAGCGTATTCCCACGAACTGGATTATTGTGACTTAACTAGAGTATTATTCTAAACTGGACTAGAGTGAACCTTCGGTGGAAACGTGGACAGCTTGAGTGTCCCAATGGTTCACGAGAAACTACAGTCTAGAGTACAAACTTGTTCTTGTTGTTAAAACTGACAAACATTAAACTCATTCTAGTTACATTATTTAATTCTCGAGTTAATTACCGACTGAAGTACTTCCCTTTCTTGAGCGTGCTACAATGTGAGTACTAATTTAAATTTCTAGAGTGTGTTTTATAATTGTTATGTTGAGGTAAGGCGAGTTTTAGGTTGATCCATCTGAAATGGATCAAAGTTCTACTGTCTAATAAAAAGTAACTTAACGGATTGTTCCAACCCGGTTTTTAGCGGCGTTCATGTATTTTGGGTATCTAGAGACCTAAGTATGAGGACGTTCTTAATTCTAGAGTGGGGGGATATTTTAGTAGTAGCCTTTAAGCTAAACCGGGTCGTAGTCTCATGTCACAAACGAACCAAATTGGCTCCGACTGATTTGAGGTAGAAAAACACAAGAGATAGTGTCCCTGACTCTTGAGCCAATAGTTATAGGGCCTATTTTTCTTAAGCCTCATGTGTGACTGCAGTAGACGAATGTTACATAGTGTTTTTATGGCGCTCCTGGGTGTTTACGACATCAAGACTACGGAGTCGAACCCACTTGAGACAGCTTCGGGCTGAATGCCCATTCTAGAGTACCGGCGGTGCGGTTCGACAGGAACGTGCAAACCTTCCGGTTGTACCGTGATAGCTTTTTAAGAAAACTCGAGAAAACTTCCTGGTACGCTCTCCGAACGAGGCTTAGCTAACCGAGTAAAGGGGGGCAACTAGGGGGACAAAAACACGAGCAAAAAGACAAAAAGCAAAACAAAAACAAAAAAAAAGAATAGAAAAAGGAACAAAGACCATAAAACGAAAAAAGACAGTGACTTTGACACCAGATTAGTTGGATCAAACCTTTATATTAATTAAATAGTATACCCATACTGTTTTACAAGTTCGATCGTTTCGATCAACCTAGTAATTTAACCCAGTAACCTTAATAAAGAGCCCGAGTGTGGGGCGTTGTCAAGGGTTTTCAGATAGCTTGGAACTTAGCTGAACCAATAGGAGACTTGGCTGGAAGAGGTGACCAGTCGAGTGGGAAAGTGGTTCACAAGGATCGAACCGGACCACTGGGAGACTTGACTGGAAAGGGTGACCAGTCGAGTGGGAAAGTGGTTCACAAGGATCGAAACGGACCACTAGGAGACTTGACTGGAAGAGGTGACCAGCCAAGTGGGAAAGTGTGCTGCTGTCAAGTGCAGAACAGAAACAACCAGCACAGGATCAGCACAAGAGGACGCACAGGGGTGTTCTCAAGTTGGGCAACGGGTATCGTTAGAATCCACATTACATTATAGGAGATAAGTGTAAAATGGATAAGCGGAGTCCCATTGTTTTGAGGAAGTTTTTGCACAAGCAGGCCTGGAAATAGGTCTACGGTTTTCTCTCGAGAGGTTTAGCACCCGGCGCTTAAGGGATTTTTCGGCTTAAGAGGGGGGCTAAAGAGGGGGAGGTTAGAAGGGGGGCTGGTTAAGTTAGAGGTTGGCGGTTATAAATTGTAAAAAGGGGAGACACATTAGAGTAACTAATTGTTCGGCATCGTCGACTTAGTTACATTAGATATTTACACGCGTTGGTTAAAGGAAGCGGATATCCAAAACTAGAATTAGGTTAAGGTTGGGACCCTGGTCGGATCGGTAGGCGGGAACGGACATAGACAGTTTTTTGTGATACCCCATAAGATCGCTAGCAGGGGGAAGAAAACGCGTGGCAATTAGGTACCAGACATTTTTTCGATAGAAGGTAGACATTTGTCACCTTTGGATTTTAGGTGGGCTCATCTTTCCGTTTTTATTACTTTTTCTAGCTTGGATTTTTGTTGCATTTTGGTGAGGATTTGTGTTTAGTTTTTATACGAACAGGTGATCACAAGACACCTGCGCACAGGTTTTGGTCTCAAGTTGCTTGGAACATTGAAAGAGAGGTAATTAAAAAGAAATAAGAAAAAGGGGGGTCAGCATTTGGCTTTTAAGAGAGGGTTTTTGGGAAAATTTTACTAGAGCTTGAGTGGTGGTACAAGGTACAGTGAATCAAGAAGTCCCCATAACGAAGAAGAAAGAGGTCCCGCCGCTCAGACACTTGTCAACAGACTTGGGACAGTGCCAAAGAAGTCCTGGGACATTGTTGGACCAGAACAGTCTTGATACAGTCTTGGGACAGTGGTCTTGGGACAGTGGTCTTGGGACAGTGGTCTTGGGACAGTGGTCTTGGGACAGTGGTCTTGGGACAGTGGTCTTGGGACAAGGGTCTTGGGACAGGGTGTTGGGACAGTGGTCTTGGGACAGTGGTCTTGGGACAAGGGTCTTGGGACAGGGTCTTGGGACAAGGGTCTTGGGACAGTGGTCTTGGGACAG